TGAGAGGTGAAATGACTGGATTAGGACAGTTTGAACCTCATCAGTGCATTCATCATCTGATAGGGATTAACTGCCTCACCGGGGCGGGGAGGGGGGGGCAGAACAATGGAGACAGCTATTTATAAACTGAGACCTTTGAAATCATGAGCCCTCAAGTAAACTCCCCCGCCCCTCTAAAATTGTTCTTGTCATGTCTTTTGGTCATGGCAACGAAAAAGCCGACTAACATGGGTTAGATCTGGAATGTCCCCCACGAAACTCACGCATCAGGCAAAGCGGCAAGGTTCCGAGGTGAAAAGACGGGATGATGAGGGCTGTCACCTCATCAGTGGATTAATCCATTTGGTGGGTTAATAATTTGAATGGATTACTGATCAAGAACAGCAGGCAGGTGAGCCACTGATGGGGGAAGTAGGTCACTGGGAGTGTGGCCTTGGGGACTATATCTATCCCTGGCCACTTTCTGTTTCTCTCTCCTACACTACAACCTTCCACCATGATGATCTGATTCTCCTTGGGCATGACTAAGGACTGAGGCTCCTGAAACCCTCAAAATAGACATTTCCTCTTCTGAGTTGTTCTTGTGAGGTCTTTTGGTGACAGTGATAAAAAAGCTGATGAACACAGATCACCAATGTTGAGTTTTCTGTACACAGAAATTATCATTTACAAAGGGAAGAAAGTGGAATGGAAAATGTCAGGGGCTGGGGAAGGGGACAGAGGGGGTTAGTGATGAATGGGTGAAGAACTTCCATTAGGGAAGAAGAGAAGAGTCCTGCAGATGGACAGTGGTGAGGGTTGCACAGCAAGATGAACCTAGTCGATGCCACTGAACTCTACATTTCAAAGTGGTTAAGATGGCAAATGTTATGTTATGTGTAGTTAACCCCATAAAATATTTGGAACCAAGCGGTCTGACCTCCTTTGAAGAGATAAGCACAGTGTAAGGCCATATCATTCATATAGAATTTAAAGCCACACAAGACATTTTTAGATGTAGTTTACGGGTACATTTACAAATAGCCAATGTGCACAGAAATAATAGACACAACTTCCATATTGTGGTTCATTCATTTTTACCCCCACATTTTTTTGTTGGTGCATTATAGTCATACATATGATGGCGTTTGTTGTTACACACTTGTACATAAACATGATCTAACAGTATAACTTGGCCAAGATTGTTCCGCAGTGTAGTGTAGGAGAGGGAAACAGGAAGTGGCCAGGGATAGATGTAGTCTCCCAGTATATTTTCTCTTCCCCTTTCCTCCTCCTTACCTCTGGTCCCTTTCCTCTATTCTACTGATATCTCTTCAATTTTCATAAGATCTCTCCCTACCTTTCTTACCCTTTTTCCTCTCTAGCGTCCACATAGGAGAGAAAACATACTACCCTCAACCTTCTGAGTTTGGCTTATTTCACTTAGCATTAGGTTCTCAAGTTCCATTCATTTTTCTGCAGATGATATAATTCCACTTTTCTTTCTGGCTGTATTGTGTGTGTGTGTGTGTGTGTGTGTGTGTGTGTGTGTGTGTGTGTGTATCTCACAGATGCTTTATCTGTTCATCTGTTGATGGATACCTAGGCTGGTTCCATAGTTTGGCTATTGTGAATTGTGCTGCTCTAAACGTGGGAATGCATGGATCACATGCCTGCTGACTTTAATTCAGATAAATACCAAGAAGTGGAATAGCTTGGTCATGTAGTAGTTCTGGGCCCAATCTTTTGAGGAACTCCATACTGATTTCCATAATGATTACACTAATTTATAATCTCAATGGTGGTTCATTCTTGAGGGAGAGTGGGAGAGTGGGGAGGGGAAAGTCAGGTGTTAATTGTATTTTAAACATTTTCTTATTTTTCTTTTCTTTTTTGAATACTGAGGATTGAACTCAGGGACACTCAACCACTGAGCCACATCTCCAGCCCTATTTTGTAATTTATTTAGAGACAGGGACTCACTGAGTTGCTTAGTGCCTCACTGTTGCTATGGCTGGCTTTGAACTCGAGATCCTCCTGCCTCAGCCTCCTGAGCTGCTGGAATTACAGGCATGCACCACCATGTCCAGCTTATTTTCTTTTTAAAAAAAAGATTTAGGATAACTGTGACAAAACACTTCTCTTAAATCTCAGTGCTGGGTACGTGGATGCCTGTTCCATTATTTTAGGTATATTGAATACTGCATCATTGAAAAGAGAAAATAAAATAATCAGAGAGAGAAAGGACCAGATGGGTTCTGGCTGGCATTATTATCTATCTCTCTGACCTTCCAAGTTCTCTTGTTTTCAAGTTACTCTTTTTCTTTTCTTCCATATCTCCGTGGTGCAGAAGATGTCTCTCTCTTGCTTCATGTGACAACTCAAAAGAAGCAAAAAACCTAGTTCTTCCTGCCTGGCCTTTGTACTCCCTCTTTCTGAAGCAATGCAGT